CGTTGAGCGCGACTTTGCATTCACACCGCATTCCGTACGATATACACTTTTTTACACTGCGAACGATAGATAGGTACACTCCGTTCCCCGGATGTAAGGAGGGCGTGGCTCCTTACCTCAACTGAACGTAGCTGAGACTGGGCTTCTGGTGGGTTATTTTCGTTTGGGGACAATTGCAATTGTGTTTTGTCCAGCATAAGACAGGATAACAACTGTTTCAAATGGAACTACTCCATGGGATACGCATCCTAAAAATCCTGTTAAAATGAAGACGTAACCACGCCCTATTCATCTCAGGTAGGGCACATAATAGCTGAGGATTCCCCAACAGGTTGTCGTATTCGGTCGCTAAAGAGAAAGGGGGTCATAGTAGGTCTAAGGAATTTTTTTTAATGGTTGATTTTTCTTGTTTCACGGACGCGAGAAAGGAGGCGGGTCGTATTTTTCTCGCGATGTTTCCCGTTTCAAGTATGCCACACCCCCACCCCTGCTCGTCAGCTAGATCGTATCAGTGAGGGAAATAGGGGGGAGGTCGTTCAGACTCGACCAAAATCCCCAACTAAATTATAATGTGCCTTATCGCCGGGATGGGTAGTTGTTGCGAGCACAGTAGCCAGAATTCGGTGGCTCTGAAAAATCCAGTTCATCCCTTAAACATTCGCCTTCGTCAGGATTCATTTTCATTAATTAAGGCTCATTAGGTCTCACCTGCGAGAAGCAGATTTTTTCGCTGTTGGTCTCGAGCAACATTCTGGAAAAACTGTCATGCTCACTAGGAAGTCCTTTATTACGACCCGCTTATCTCAAGAAAATCAAGCATTTTATGTAATAGAAAAATTGTCTGCTCACAAGACTCTTTTCTACTTCATGGATGAAGTGGCGTTCTATTTTTTTAAATAACCAAAAATCACATTATATCAACAGAGGTTTAGTTGTGTGGTGCAAAAATTTTATACTAGTTTCACAGGTCCTGTCACAATCTCCCGTCAATGAGTCTCGCGTCATTGGATGTACTGGCACGCTGATAACTCCATCATTGATCCTCACCTCATCTAAATGCATTGCCACTGATGAAGATGGAGAAGCGTTAGTTCAAACTGTTTTCTTACCATCGCTTATACCATTTATACGCCTTTCCCTCAGCAAAGCCTTCGTCCTTGCTTTCTTGAAGATACGGTCCGAGAGAGGAAGGTATACTCTAGTTCGCTGCGGATGAAGGGGCGTGTCAGCAGTATGAGTGTGCCACGGCGCCAAACCTGTTCTCTGCCACTTGTTGAATTGAAGTTTATGCGGCAGCAGTTGATAGAAAACGAGTGATACGAACGATATGATACAGTCTTGTCACTTGCTCGCTTCAACAACTGGTGAGAACGGGTTTGGCACCGCGCCAAACTCATCCCGCCTGACACATCCCTTCGTCCGCAGCGAACTAGACTATAGTGGTACTGAAATATGCGAGAGAGGTTGGAAGGAACTCATCTGTGAAGAGGAAATGCCAAGGGGAACGTCGACAACGCCTATAATAGGGCCCCTCAACCCTGAACAGTTGCATTTGTGAAAGGCCATGTTGCGACGAGTCAGTCGGCTGATTCCTTGTAATAAACCCTACGACCCCGTTCGAGACAGTAGAGCATCCATTCCAAGCTAGTTGTCCAGTAGTATCGCTTTTGGTCACTGGAAGAAGGAGGTACCACTGGAAGCTTAAAGGCAGTTGGCACGATGGTTTCCTACTTAGCCTAAAATGCTAGTAGGGCGCTGTATAGTGGGGAAATGGCGAAAGAACGGAGTGAAACGGTCAAAATCCTGCGAAGAAAAAGCCTCCGTTCTCAGTGACTTGTAAATCGATTTCGGACGAGTTTCCCGTAGGCATCTTACCAATCACCGCTACCGAAGATACGGCTGCATATGTACCCATGCAAGCGTGCAGCATCACAACCGCTTCATACCAATGAACATTCGTGCAAAATATTTGCTTAGGTCAATGAATCATATACGAGCGTAGGACCGGTCTTGCCATTTGTGGGGCGGTGGCGGGCGTTCCGGGAGCGTTAAGTTGTGGCTGTATAGGGCCTTATAAGCAGCACCTTCTCGGAGAAACCGCTCTGCAGACGCCTGCCAGAGGTGCGCGGAATCTATCCTGCCAGGAATATTGATCCTAGTCGTCTTGTGGGATTTATCGTGCCAACTGCCCTTTAATTCCTTTACCTTAAAACTTCGCGCTGCAGAACTAGGTTGTCCATTGCAGATCACACTACTCCTTTTGTTTTTTCATAGGTCATCGCAGACCGCTCTTGTTAAATCCTGTAGTGTAGAAATCGTTCGTCAAGCTCATTGAGACGCTTCTCTGATCTTCAGGGGAAACACCGCTATGTCCATCTACTCCGAAAAGGATCAACGTAACAGAAAACGAGCAGTCAGTTCAATCACGCAAATTGATCGCATCGCTGTACTTGAGATCATCGCCATCAGGGATAAGGTGGGCCAGAATTGCTTGATAGATGAGAATATTCAGGCGCAGTTTGACTTGGAGAGGGCATTCCGCTTTTCCACCGATTACTGCCAATGCATTCCACATGTAAATTCCTGTAACGCTATGCAATAGCAGGAGCTTCACCTACACTTGACATACATAGTCTACAAGTCCTCATCAGTGTGAGACCTTTGATTCAGAAGGAATTGGCAAACAAAACTAGCGAATGCGCACAAGTACCCCTCCCAAGCCCAACTGTGCCGAATATTTGATCGCCTCTTCGTTGAGAACTGTTATATGCAGATGTGCCCACCTCCACCGGCACCTGCAAGGCTGAGCAAGCTGTCGATGAATGTTACTCTTACTTCGATTCCGTGGCAGCCTGTAGATCTTGAAGTGCTTCCGGAGAAGAAGTGCCGGATTAACGGCTTCAAAACTACCGAAGGTGTTTTTTTTAATTCTAGGTTGCATTTGTAAAAAGTAACTTTCAAAGAGGAAAATGGAAGAATATGGATTGGTGAAGTCAGCAACTATAAAAGCAAAGTAAGAGAAGGAACCCAGAAGCCGGCGTTACAGGCTCGTTTCGATGCTAACGCCTGGCTTTCGGCTCGAACTGTTGCAGTTCCCGTATTCAGAAGTCAAGTACTACCGGCGGCAGAATGTTAGAGAAATTCACAATTTGGGAAAATATTTTCCGATCAAAATCTGAGAAGATCAAAAATAAAATTTCGACTGGGACTAGTAGCGCCCTCAACGGATGAAATGAGCTGTATGAGACCTTTCTCCCAGCTGAAAAGGCTGAATCAGTGGAGACAGGTCGAAAAGGGCATAGAAGATCCCATTAAACTTTACTGGATCCAATTGAAAGATATGTACATTCCGCGATTACGTGATGGCAGTTTCCCTTCCTTGTCCAAATATTGCAATCTGCATTTTGGCGGAATGTGTCTTTAGCGCAGAGCAAAAGAACGCCCGTACATTCAGTGAGCGATTTCTCTACTGAACACGAAACAATGCAAGCTGAAGTGCAGGTGGTCAAAGATGATGGTGGAATCGTTGTCGAAGTTCCAGGAGGGAACTCCTATCTGCTGGGTGAGCAACTCCCTACCCAGATGTTTCATCAAAATGGACTAAATCAATAAGCCTTTTCAGGACGACATCGGTCTTCCACTTGAATGCATGCTCGACGGTGAAACGTGGACTCAAGTCGGTTTCTTGGAGTCGGTCACAAAAGTGGTAGGATTTTTTTGAATGATACTACAGCTAACATCATTATGTAGCGAATACTTGAGGTAGGAAGATAACGAAGAAATAGATGAAGAAGAAGAGGAAGAAACCGAGGAGACTCCTAAGCACTCATGTGACAACATTTCCGTAAGCATAATAGATTTCTACCAAGCAAGCACATTTTACTAGGAGCCGCAATTTTTCCTCGACTTCTCCTCGAAGGTGTGTTCATACTTTGTGGCAGCATCCGCGTCTACCAGCGTCCACCAGCGACCACTAGCGTTCCGAGCGTCCGGCAGCGTCAGCGACTAGGAAAGTACAGATATCGATCTAGCGTCTGCCAGCGTCTACCAGCGTCCACCAGCGACCGGGAGTAGAGAGTATGGGAAGTAGGAGGGTAGCAAACAGCTGGATTAGGCGTCGTGAAATTGCGGCTGTGCAACCGCACCGTACAACTACGCTACACCGAACATATTTTTCTTTTCCTTTCCTTTTTTTCTGTGCTTTAGCAGTTACGCGGTGCGGTTGCATGCGCCGCAATTTCACGACGCCTAATCCAGCTGTTTGCTACCCTCCTACTTCCCCATACTCTCTACTCACGGTCGCCGGTGAAAGCATGAACGCTGGTAGACGCTGGCAGAAGCTGGATAGATACCTGTACTGCTTCAGCCTTCGAGACGCTGGCAGACGCTAGATCGATACCTAGTTTCCTAGTCGCTGACGCTGCCGGATGCTCGGAATGCTATTGGTCGCTGGTGGACGCTGGTAGACGCTGGTGTACGCTGCCACAAATTATGAACGCAGCCTCAGCCAAGCTAAACACGGCTCTACGTTTCTGAATACGAGTCAGGCGCACGCCAACTCCAATTCCGATCGCCTACCGCTTTACATTTTCAGCCTGTACTATACAGACGAGTACCGAAATTTTTTTTCAGAATTTGAGATTCCTCATGTTCGACAGCAATGAACTTGCTAAGATGCTTGACGAGCATGCGATCGACGTACTGTTAGCAGCGAAGAAATGCTTTTCCCGAGATGCTCCTCGGTCCAGCATGACTCAGTGAGGATTTGTAAACCCTTTTCAGCATTACTTCAATGTACTGGTTGTGATGAGATTACTAAATAAATATGAAAATGCGGACGAGATCAAGTCATTGTGGATTCGCTCAGGGCACCGGACACTATTGCTGGAGGCGGAAGTTTGTTGCCAGTCTCAATCGTGGAAGGCTGAAAGAAGGCGTTTGGCCGCACCCCACTGAGCCATTCCGCCAATGACGTTGGCGACAACCTCCCGCCCCAGGAGTCATACCCACTGACTTCAAGGAATAAGTTCTACGATCTAAAGATCTTTCCACATCCTGACACCTGCCAACCCGACGGAAATAGGAGACGAGGTAATGGAGAAGTCTAGTGGTGGTAGGCCTGATAGAAACGATTCCCGTGGGATCTGTACATCTACCTAAAGTTCTTCTCCCGATTGTCCTGAATCAGGTAAAATAGGGTAGTACGAGGGGATGCTATTTGAGGTTAACTATCTAACAACTATCTAAAGTTCCTCTGCCGATCCTCCTGAATGAAGTAGGGTAATAGAAGAATGTGCTAAATGAGGTTAACTATCTAGACCTCCTCTCTCGATTCGT